TCTTTGAACATGTTGAACAAATAGCGCAAATATGTGATTTGGGAAAGTTGAATTCAATGAATACACTGGAAAAAATTTGGAACACCAGTTAAAATCATTATATTCATATTTTATAGGATCCATAACATTAGGTATCTTCCAATTGGATCTGTAAACTAATCTTTCTCTCTCCTTACATTCCGTTCGTTCTGCTTAGCTTTTGTTTTTCTTAATTTCCTTCGTTCTCTTATCATCCCTTAACAGTTTTAAATGAACTTTTATTAGTCTCTCCCTGGCTTATTAAAGAACGCACAAATCACACTCGACTCCATACTATAATTGCACTACGCAAAATCGTGGATTATATTTTAAGCTAAGTTTTTGTTTTCGCAGTGCTGCCACAAGGCAACTCCAACACACTGTGCGCGGCCGTCTTCAGTGTCGACGAGTCATGAATAAAAATTAAATGCAAAAAAAATAAAAATAAAAAGCAAAAAACTAAAAATAAAATAATAATAAAAAAAAAAAAAAATAGACAAAAACTAGAACAATTTGTTTTGAGCATTTTGCGCACAATGAACAAAGCGAGGCAATTGCTTTGTGCATGATTTCATTTTAATTAAATTATGTTTTTTTTGTTTTTGCTTCATTTTTTGCTCTTGCGCTTTTTATAATTGCATGCAAACAATGCGAGACGAGCACATGGCTGACTTTTATGGGGCCTCGCCCCCGCCTGCTGCCCGCTGCCCCCTGCCGCACAGCCCAAGTGTGTAGTCTTGTGGATGTGCAAAAAATTTGTTTGCCATGCAGCGCATTTGGTATTACGAGCAGAATTTGTGGCAGTTGTACATGTTGCCAAGGTCAAGTTGGGCAATTATCATAATTTTTTTAGTTTGCTGTTTTGTTTTTTTTTTTTTGTGCTGCGCTTATTTGGCTAAAAACGAAGCGGCGACCACGTTAATGGCACTTAGCTCAACTGCGAGACGATGCGCTGAAACTGGAGTAAACGTGCTTTTAATTTAATAATTTTTTTTTTTTTACTGAATTACTTTTAATAATTTCATATTATAATGAGCTTGAATTTTTGATATATCTCAATATTGCATCATCACAGCCAGTGAAATATTAAAAATTCTACTTGCTATTTTTGTTTGACTTAAGGTTAACAACAAACGACCAACAACAACAATAACAACATTAACAATAACGAACAACGGCAGCAGCAGCGATAATTAATCACATACAAAATCAACAAGATCCAAAAATATATTTATGTGCTGTCAGTTTTGATGACGACGCGGGAAATTTTTGCCAAACTAATTGAATTAGCTGAACCTTGTATACCCTGTTTATCCTTTAAATGACAGTACCAAAATGTTGTGCACTTTCGATCCAATTGTGCATATTTATCGATATATCGATTTACGCATAATCAGTGATAATGCTTATCGACCTATCGCTTGAAGGATGCACGATCTTAGTCCTAACGAGATACTTATTCTTGCAAATCAGGCATTACTCCTATGTGCAGGGCATCTTTCGGCTGTGCATTCCCGCCCAAAAACAATTTAATGCATACGAGTTTTTATTTTTGAGGTATTTTTCGGAGTATTCGGTACTTTTTCTTAGACAAACTAGTTACGCGCAAAATATACCAACTAATTAAAATAAATTGGTTGCAGCTGAACTCATCAATATGCCGCGGGCGGCGAAGCAGGGTGCTTGACAAATTGCAGTGCTGTTGTTGTTGTATTTTTCCTTTTTTTTTAATTTTTGCTTAATCTCCAGCAAAAAAACAAACCAAGCGAAATATAAAAATACTTTATTATGCATACAAATTCCAAATACATTGTTAAAAGTATTTGTTTGCTTGGCGTATTTAATTTATAACACTTTCACTTAATAGCCACTAATTGTGGCTTTAAGATGTTGGTAGCTTGGCTCAGTTTTGTTTTGTAGAATTATGCAACAAGCGAAGTTAATAAATTTCTTGAAAACCTGTACCCAAATTAGTGGGTCGCTTGAAAAGATGACCAAACAACGGTCTGTTTATAATGAAGTCATTCGATAAATATGAACATGAAACATGATATGCTTAAACAGTGGCATTAAATGAGCTTTTTAGAAGTATTTGATTATTCATGAATATAGAATTTGGGAAGGTGGCAAAACTTAAAATTAAGTATAATATTTAAAACAAAATTTGGATACAAATTTTACGCTGTGACTGAAAAATAACAGCTTCTATTGGGTTTTTGTATTCTTGATTAGCGCTAAATTTCTCCACGGCCATTCGGTGGAATTTGTCTATTCTCTTTTTAATAGCCATTTGTCTTTTTGATAAAACTACTCAGAGACGTGTCCTTGATGAAACGATGCAAACTTAATAAAATATCAAAGCACCTCTGGTTCACCTTTATCACATAGGCTCTCTGTCTGTCGCTTTCCCTTTTTTAGCCCTAATCAACTCATTTATCATTATTATTGCATCTTATGCTTTAAAACCATAGTACAATAGAATCAACCCACGTTAAAGTAAAGCTGTGCTGGCTTATATTAGGGTAAACTGAACTCGCAAATCATTAGCTGACACTTCAAATAAATTGAAACACAGCTCTAAACAAGTTCAGGCCACATGCAGCTGATCGAATCTGGTAGCCAGTATCGTCTACTCGTATCATCATATGTGATATATGCATATATAGCCGCATATTGTGTGTAAATCAGACAAACGCTGGCTTATCCCCAACGCAAAGCTAACGAACCGCAGCCAAGAGAAACGTTCTGTGGCTCTTTTTCTCACTATTACTGCCCGTTCTCTCTGTCTCTGTCTTACTCCTTCTAGCTTTTAGTAGCTAGTGTCACTTGTCTGTTGTAAAATAAATGTTTATTGCTTTTTAATATTGCACATTGTCTGCATAAATTTCACGCCGGACAGACGAACAGGCAGCTCGCAGCCTCTGCAACTTTGTTATTATTCTCTCTGTTATTTTGTTCCCCCATTTTCTTGTTTTATTCTTCTTTTTACTTTGTGATTTAAAATCAAACTAAATCTGCTGCCAATCCGCTGGTTGTTGAAACTTGAAACTCATAATTTTTAATTTATTTTATGTGATTTTTATTTGTCGATTAATCCAAGCAACAACAACAGCTACAGCGGACCCGACGACGCTTTATGAAACCTAAACGTACAAAATTTATTTCCTACCCAGTCGGAACAAATATGCGATGCGATGGGACGGGACGGGTTGAAGCTGAGGCTGGGGCTGGGGAGCCGAACTCAACACATAACACGAAATCAGATTAGCATGTTTTACAGGCCGAACAAGCCAAGGAACTGAGCGAACTAAGCCAATTGGTATGGTGCATTCTTTTAAGCCTTACTCCCGCCCCCCCTTATTACCAACCCCGCCCCGAAACGGACAGCCCACAAAGTGGGCACAGTTCGTAGGTTGGCGGGCCGAAGACCGGGTCCTGGCCAAAAGTGAATGTGTTGAATGCTTTCTCTACTTTGTAATGTGCCAATTGTTTGGACAGATGGGAAAAATTATTGCCGCGAATTGACAGTGGGGCAATTGGTGCTATAAAACATAAATCCCAACCAAAAAGTGAACTGCACTCGGCAGCTAACCCGAGTGCTGAGCATGTGCAGCTGTAGCCACCTGCTGTAGCCACCTGAAACAATTTCGCTTTAATGAGAGCTACTAAAGATAGAAGATCAAACGATCCTTAAGCAGCGCTTGTTATTGTGTTAATAATTGTATTATTTATGGCAAATTATTGTGAACGTTTCGATTTCCCATGTAAATTTTGTAACGGTGAATGTAGCAATCGGATCGAAGTGAATAGATTTTAGTATTTAACTGAAAATTATATGAACATACAAATTTTAAGTTGAGATTGCAACATGATTTAAAAAACGAAAGGCTTTAAAAGATTGTGCCAATCAAAAAAAAACAAATAGGTTTATTAGCGTGCATTTCTTCGATTTCTGTCGTTTAGTCAGTTAGTCAGTGGAGCAGTTAGTCATTCAGGGACAAAAACTTTTACATACATAGCACATTTTTATGAACTATTCGAGCTCCCAATCGACTTCCTTCCAAAGTCTCCCACGGCTCCTTCTACAACTTTGCGTGTGTGCGTGTCAACCAAGTTTTGCTCCAGTTAAAGCTACAAGTGCTAAAAACAAAAAAACGAAATAAACGTAAAACTGTGACCACAACGTTGCCGCCAAGATCCAAGCCCCAAATGGAAATGCCAAACGCCCCAAACCCAAATAAAGCACAACAAGGCGACCCCTAACAGCAACAATGATGGCAATTTGTTGATAAACATTTCGCTCGCAATAAATAAACAAATATACGAGTGTGTACCTTGGCAACAAGTTGCTAAGGTCTATTCCGCGAGACAGTTCAAAGGAAACAAGAGGCGAGATTGGTAACAGAAACAGGCAAGCGCAGCACAGCACAGGCCATATAAATGCAAATGCTCTACACGCTGCTTGTTTGCTCGCCTGCTACAATGTTCGCAGTGCTCTGGGGCAATTTTTCATTTGATTTCATCTTCATATTTTATTATGCTCTCCAGCCAGCCAGCAAGCACCGGCAAACCAGCTACCCAGTAAACGACGGCAACATCGTCCACTTCCATTTCCATTTGTTGTGCGGCTGGTTTTTCCTTTGCTTTTCTTTCTTTTTTGTTTTGTTGTTGTTGTTGTTGTTGTTGATACCAATTTTGCGATATGACAAACTATGTTTGCATTTTAATTTTTAATGCGTGTGAATTTCGCTGGCGGCGCACTTGCTCTTAGTTCTGTTGGGTTATGGAGAGCGCAAGATGCTCGTGTCATGATTTGCTGTTGCATTTAATTGAAATTTTATGAATTTATTGCATTTGTTTTTGTTTTTTTTTTTTTTTTCTTTGCACGCAAGAGCGAAGACAGAGACAGTTAGAGAAGATTTAGAACATGCCAGCTAATGTCTTATATCATTTTATGCTCCTTTTCATTTCATGCTTTTCAGATGAATCAGACGTGCAAGGTCTGTGGTGAGCCGGCGGCTGGGTTTCATTTTGGTGCATTCACATGCGAAGGTTGTAAGGTGAGTACAAGTTTCTTATTTAATAATTAATAACTATTTTGAAATATTATCGATACATTAGTTATATTCGATCGATGCATGATATTGATTTGCTATAGTTAAACTACTGATATTTCACTATATGTAATTGTTCTATCGATACTTGTTATCGATAAAACAATGCAATTTATCGATTCTTCTGAGCACAAGATATCAATCAAAAGTACAAGTGCTATCGATAGCAAAGAGTAATTTTCCATAGAAATAATAATAATAATCGACGCCTCGGCGCCTCCCTGCCAATATGAATAATAGTTATCGATCGCTATTGGCATTCCATAATAAATCGCTAGCCGCATCGTGACAAAGCCGTAGAGTAAATGGTGCCATACCAAAACTGGAATGTTGAGTTCATTACGAGCAATATCAACCGAGCACCAAGAAAAACAACAACAAAAGCAACAATAAGATAAACGACAACAAAGAACGCCTCAGGCTAAGGTCAGAGTTAAACAAAAAGAGCGCTCCACAAAATGCATAATTGATTTAAACACGAGTACTTTAAATGCCTTTAGGAGCACAGGCAGCTGGATGAAGAGGACGTTGTAGGATTACTTGATTTTAATTTTTTTTTTTTTTTTGTGGCTAGAAGAGAAAGGTCAACTAACGTACAATTTGTGGGTCAACATTATTTGATTTGTGCGCCATGGCGTGGGCCGGCTAATTTGACGCCCACCAAAACAAAAGACTCCCAAAACGAACCAAAGCGCGTCGCTTCAATAATGGCGATGATACTGATGATGATGATGATGATGATGCAGCAGAAGGCTAAAAGGCATGAGAATACTTAGTGAAGAGCCAAGAGCAAAGGGTAGACAGACTCTGGTAGATTTCGACAAAACAAACAAAAGTGAATCCGCCTTGGCGCACAAAATTGTCTGTAAATAGCCGGCGCAATGAAGTTCGTCCGGTTCTGCTGCTGCTGCTCTTTCAAACGAAACTGAAAGCGTAAACGTATAGCCGAATAAGAAGAAGAAGAAATCGAGAAGAAGAAAAAAAAAAGAAGATAAATAAACATACATATACGAAAATCCCCCCATTTCCATTTCCGACCCAGTAATCTTGATGCCCAATTAACCTTAAAAGTGGATTTTCGCATTGTTTCTGTTTCTAAGCGCGGTTCGATTTGCGCGTCTCCACACAGCAACTCGAACTCGAACTCCACCTACGACAACAACTGACTGAATACTAACAGACATGACTGTCCCACTGTCTGTCTTACTGTCCGTCTGTTTGGCTGGTCGACGGACTGTCTGACTATTCGTCCGTACGCCAACTTGATTGCCAAGCTGCGCTGTGATTTACGTTCAACATTGCAACTTGGCATAAGTGTTGCACAGCCTATAACCTTTGCAACATGCTGCTGCTGCGACTCGCTGACTTTGCCACAGCTGATGGCAGCAACAGCAACATGTTGTAGCCTTTTTCGTGCCGCATTGAATTAAATTGTTTGTTTGCTTTGTTGCAATTGATTGTGGCCCAGCCAACGGTTAATGTTCCACTCGTGGGTGTAGGTGGTTGTGGCTTTAGCTGTGGACGTGGATGTGAACGTGGATGTGCACGTTGTATGTCGATTCGCTTCTTTTTTTTTTTGGCAGAGCTTTTAAGATTTTACAGTATCAACACCACCAACAACAGAAGCAGCCGTTGATGAATCATCAGAAAATTTAATGAGATATTATGGTTGAATGACATCACGGCTGAAAAGTCTCTGCAGTCGAGAGAGACATATGCATAGGGAGAGAGCGAGGAAGAGAATTAACCAGCACAAAACTTTTAAAAGAGCCGAGAGTGTTCGAATACTGACTAAATATATACATAGAGAGCTATACGATAGTGTTCCGATAATAACAAGACATGGTCTAAGCTCCTGCACAATTTAATGATACCCCCTTCATTCTGTGAGTACAGGGTATCGAAATACTTGAACTTCAAGGGTCAACAAACAAAAGTATCGAGTATAGGTATCGAAGCCACACAGAACCAAGTAGTGGCGCCTTCTATGTGAGTATGTGTGAAAGGAAAGCATGCAAGGTGCACAATAAAAGTCGAGAAATGAATGTAAACACGAGCTGAGTTTAATGTAAAGATACATTATATCAATGATAAAACAAATAGATCAGTAAGAAAAAAGGAAGAGGAAGAGTATCTTATGGTAAACAGATTTTTAGCTGAAGTTGTTATTGAGAGATGCGAATGAGTCGAACGGGTAAGGATCGCGTGCTTAACATGAACTATCGCTTAGAAATCTATCATAAGATGGTAATAGGTTAAAGTACGAGATTTTATAAGAAGAACTTTGACTATTGACGGACATTTGTATCAGATGAGTTGTCTTGAAGTCCAGATTATTATGTTTACTAAAGAAAGAGGTTTCTTAGAAAATAATAACATTCTCCATATTCATAAGTCCTTTGAGCTGTATATCAGACTAATCTTACATTCTATCCTGCTCTACTTGCAGTCCTTCTTTGGCCGCTCGTACAACAATTTGTCCTCCATATCGGACTGCAAAAATAACGGCGAATGCATCATCAACAAAAAGAATCGCACGGCTTGCAAGGCCTGCCGTCTGAAGAAGTGCCTCATGGTCGGCATGTCGAAGAGTGGCTCACGCTATGGCCGACGCTCCAACTGGTTCAAGATACACTGTCTGCTGCAGGAGCAGCAGCAGCAGGCGGTCGCGGCGATGGCAGCACACCACAACAGTCAGCAGGCTGGCGCCGGAGGCAATGCCACCGTTGGAGGCGCATCCAATGGCTGTGTCAAGACCATGGCGGGCGTGTCAGCGCCTTCGGCCGCTGCTGCCGCACTGGGCATGCTGGGACATGCGACGGGCGGCTATCCGGGTCTGTATGCGACGGGACCACCGCGCAGCAAGGAGGAGTTAATGATGCTGGGACTAGATGGCAGTGGAGATTATGGCGGCATTAAGCATCCATCGCTCGTCGCTTCACCTTCGGTCAGCTCACCGGATTCGCACAACTCGGACAGTTCCGTGGAGGTGAGCAGTGTTCGTGGCAACTCGCTGTTGCAACTTGGTGGCAAGCCAAATGCTGCGACTGATGGCAGCCAAGCTGGAAGCGGCACAGCGCCGGGGCGACCGCCACAACTGCGCAAGGATTTGGCTCCGTTTTTGCCCTTACCATTTCCGGGGCTCACTTCGATGCCCGTGATGCCACCGCCTGCATTTTTGCCACCCTCGCATTTGCTCTTTCCCGGCTATCATCCTGCGCTGTATTCCCATCACCAGGGTCTGCTTAAACCCACCCCCGAGCAGCAGCAGCAGGCGGCAGTCGCCGCTGCTGCAGTGCAACATTTGTTCAACTCAAGCAACGCGAGTGGGCAGCGCTTTGTGCCGCAGCTGCATGCGACGGCGCCATTTACTGGCCACAAAGAGGAGGCGGCTCTAAGTCCCAACCACAGCAACAGCAACAACAATAATTTACTGCCCAATGGCAGCAGAACGGCGACAAGCTCCGCTGATGAGCTGACAAAACGTTTCTACTTGGATGCGGTGCTCAAATCACAGCAGCACAGTCCACCGCCGCTGGCGACAAAGTTGCCACCGCACAGCAAGCAGGATTACTCCATATCGGCGCTGGTCACGCCCAACTCGGAAAGCGGGAGGGAGCGTTTGAAGAGCAGGCAGAGCAACGGCGAGGCGGATGATGAAGAACGCGAAACGGCCACTGGCAGTGATAAGGGCGTTAAGGAGGAACTAGAGCCAGGAGAGGAAGATCAGGAAGAGGAAGATTTGGTGGTATCCATGACGCCGCCACGATCGCCAGCCCAGCAGCAGCCGGCGCAATTAGTGGATGTCCATACAGCAGCGCAGGATAATCCCATTGACCTGAGCATGAAAACCACTGGCAGCTCCAGCTCCAGCTGCCGGAGTAGCAGCAGTATTAAGAGCAGCTGCCAGGAGGCAGCCGATGCCGAAATCTACAGTGATAACGAGGCAGCAACTGATCAAGCAACAGCTGATGAAGTCCTTAATATAACAGCAGACGACGAGGATGATGAGGAATCAGCCCTAGCTGAGCTCGAGGATAACAGCACCACGGAAACGGTTAAGACCAGCATAGAGCAAACCCACAAGCTAAACAATAACATAAACAACAACAATAGTAATACCAACAACAACAACAACAAAGGCAACACTAGTGATAATGAAGCTAACGATAGCATCAAACGCAAATTAAATGAGCTGATGCAGGAATCAACTAACTCGAAACGTTTGCGTCTCAGCTCGCCGGAACCACCCAACATGGCCGTTAAGGTGGCCACGTCAACGGCACTCGATTTAACCACCAAGGTTTGAGCTTAGCCACGCTGATTGTTAAACACACTCGATAGACGACATGGCGGCAATCGGTCGTTGGGCCTAACACTATGCAACAAAATTTGGTAAAGACAAACAAATGTTTATCATACTTAATATACAATATCAATTTATATTTCTTTTGAAACATTCTTTAAACAATACAATACAAAAATACTTATTGAACTTTGGAAGGAGCTTCAAATATCTGAAACAACTTAAGCACATTTAAGTTTTACTTTTTTATCATACAGTTTCCCCAAAACCAAAAGTTTATTTGAAAAATATTTTTATACATTGAAAAAAGTTTTACTTTGCATTTAAGCACGTTAAAATTGTGATAAGAAAAATATAAATTGAAATTGGAATCGGTTTCAAAAAAATTAACAAATAATATTACGAAAAATATCAGAATAATACAAATAATATAATATACATTTATTGATAAAGAATGTTTAAAATGACCAAAAGAATTAATTGCATAAGTTTTGTTGCATAGTGTTATTAGAAGTATGCTTTAGGAAACCCCTGACCCTATCCCCTCTCCACATTCCCATCTTCCCGCTATGCCAAATACAACAAAAAATAATTCTGCGTTCAATGTTAAGTTTAAGATTCGTGCCGTTTGTTTTTATTTTATTATTATTATTGTTTTTTTTTTAAGAATATTATCACATCGTTTAAAACAACTAACGAAATGGCAATAATAAAAAAAAGAGCCGCCGCATACCCAAAATTAGCATTTGAGATCTGAAAAAGTATAACAAACGGCGCGAGTCGAGTTCTTAATTAGATGCAACGCATTAAAAGCAAATATTTCGGTTGAGCAAAATGATATGTGCGAGTATTTTAGAACGATGACAACAAGGAATGAAATCGAATCGAGACGAATCGAATCAATTTGAATCGAAATCGAATCGAAACGAAACGAGACCAGCCTAAATTGTTGCAAAATTATGCAAGAGAGGGCTTATCTGTATCATTTGCATAATATAGTAGCGGAATTGTTAATTTATAAGCTACGTTTTTAGTTTTATATGTATAGCATAATATACTAATTATATTTATACGAAACAGACACACACATACACAAACACACACATATACATAAATACAATACCTAAAGTTTCTTAATAGGCATATAAATATTTCAAGTATTTCATAGCTTAGAAATTCTCATGTTAATGTGTGTAGAAATTTATATGAATATATATATATATGTATGTATAAATTTAGCGAAATTGAACTTTAGACTATTGTATTTGATTGCTTTAGTTATCGAGTTATTAGTCACAATTAGCAAATTTTTATCTTTAATATACATATAAATAAATAAATAAATAAAATCAAAGCACCAACTTGTATTGTATAAATTATTATTCTAGACTATTTTTTGCTGGTATTTTTCATCTGCTTTGTAGGCAAATTGAAAAAAAAAAACACAAAAAGAAAACAATAAAACTGAGAAATGAAATGCATGAAAAATACTATTGATATTAAATAAACGCAAATAAATATTTAAATAATATGATTTTGATGGGCCTTTTGATGGGTTTCTGGGTGCGTTACGGCCTATAAGAAACTGGGTCAAAACGCACATCAATATATACATAAGAATGTGAGTTAAGCTTCAGGTATTTATCGCTGAAGATGCTACGACACCTGGGAAACATTTATAGCTCTGAGCTGGCCCAGAGAAAGTGGATCATAAAGCGATTAGAAGAAGGTTATCAATATTTCGTAATTGTAGTATATTTATTTATTGGAAAAATTCTTCTTTAAGAAATTAAATCTCAAAAGTCTCAATTTGCCACTTAGAAAACTTGCAAAAGGAGACTTTCCTTAACTTTTTGCATTTATTTCGTTCTTCTGAAATAACTCCAGTCAAACATAAGACTTGTTGTTGAAGTTTTTTCTTTCGGTAATAAAATCTAATTTGCTGATGATTTCGATGAGCTGCTTAAATTAGAAATAGACAGGAATCTGAGTTGCTGTCGCTTTTATCTGCAAATCAGTCCCCAGACACTCGTCAGCAAGTGCAAACTGCAGTTCGGCGAAAACAATTCCCACACAAAGCACCGTGTGGATCTTTTTCTCAGCAGCTACACTCAAAGCCTACAGCTAGAGCTACAGTCAGAGCTACAGCTTCAGCTGTGTCAATGTGCATACCAAGAGAGCCAATCAATCCGAAATCTATTTCAATCAATCTTTGCGTAATTGTAAATACTTTCAACATATTTCGCTTTGCCTGCGACTGACAGTTGGCGCGACGAGTTCGCAACGAGTCGACGGTAAATGGCGCGAAAATTATAGCAAATGCTTCACGAGTGTAACAGAGGGTACGGGGCATAGACTATATAAGACCTGAATTCGTTTCTATTTATTTCACACTTGAATTGATGCGCTGCAGCGATTGACATTTTGCAAATGCTGAGCTTGCTCGACTCTTGCTAGCAATTGGCGACGGAGTGTGGAGGAGCAGAGCTGCGGGCCGAACAAGACAGACAGAAGCTGCCTCTGGGCCCCATTGGGTGCAGGCTTGGCCATCGCCGTAGACAAGGCTTGACGAGTTGACGCGCCAAGAGATCTAGTCAGACGAACCGCGAGCTGAGGCCTTTTTTCTTCTTCTTTTTTTGGTGGGGTATAACGTCCCTTGGCGCATTGTCAGCACTGAATAGTAGTGCAAATAAATTTCAATTGCGAGACACATTCTCCCACTGACATTGTTTGACACCTTGACTGCACACACATACAAAAGATCCAGCGAATTTGCATGCAAATGACAAGAAAATATAGAGAGAGCGTGTGTGTGCGAGGGAGAGAGAGAAAAAGGGAGAGAGAGAGAGAGAGAGACAGAGATGCAAGCAGACGTGAAGACTAACAGTGTTTGATCTGCAAAGATTGGCCAACACCCAGCGGCGTTTTTGCTAACAAGCTGGCAAAAGCACCTAAAAGACGTCTTCTACAGACGATGATGACGATGACGACGACTGCGACGAAGACGGCGACGGCGATGACGACGACGCACCCAGCTACCAGTTGAAAGTGTGTTGGGACTATCCATAGCCTATACTCCATTTATATGCTCCAAATCCATTAAGTGTTTTGTCGCTTTTATTTGCTACCCACACACACAGACACTACACAGACGCTGGCTACACCCTAAACTCTTGTCGCGCATTTGGAACACTTTCCGCACCTACGACAACAACGAGAAACGACACCAACGCCAGCAGAGATTGGAACTCCCAGGTTGCCCCGACTCCACACGCACAGCTTGTGATGCATGAAGCTGTTGTTGCTCTTGTTGTTGTTGTAGTCGTTGTTGTTGTTGTTGCTGTTGTTCCAAGCCCCAGTTTGGGAGCGTGTTGTGTGCCAATATTAACACCTAACTGCCGAAGCCATGAACTGATCTGAACTGGGGCTGCAAACATCTAAAAAGGCAAAGACGTTGATGATGCGCTGAAAGCTTGAAAACTACTTTGAAATGCATTTAACAAGCATTGGCGAGTACTTATATTGAACACTGTAATCAACACGCCCACACACGACAACGCCTTTGCAGTTGGACTCTTGGATACTCTTAAGATATCAACATGCCTGTTAACTAGGTTAGAAGTTGCGCAAATGCAACGGAAATCGTTGTGGATAGGCGAGTAAATCGAGATAAATATAAAAATATATATAGATAACTTAAAAGCAAAGTAATCATTAATGTCGAAGAAGATTGAATAGATACTTCTTTTTATACTGATCTTCAGACCTTAGGGATAATATTCAACAAAGAATTGTTCATATATCTTCTAGCTCAACTGATTATTTTTTGGTCCAGTTACAGATAATCATACTTATAATTAAGATAATTGTTTAAATGGTGTGATTAAAATAACGATAAAAACTCAAAAGAGACTATTGTGTCACAAATATCAAGTAGCCGCACTCAACATTTACATATTGATCACATTAAAATCAAAACCCGATTAGTGAGAGAGGGCGAGAGAAACCGAATAGTTCTTAAGGCGTTTCCCAGCCGCACAGCCAGCGGCAGGCAACAACAAAATCCACAGACCGAGACGGAGACCGAGATGGAGATGAAGATGGAGATGCAGACGGAGATGTGGCTAAAGTCACAGCCTAAATGCCGCTAAGTGCCAAAATGACAAGCATAGCAAAACGTTGGGGGATTCGGTGGGTTAGTGGTGCTGACGGTGGTGGTGGGAGCCACCATCGCATGACTTTGCTCAATGCCAGGCGCGCATACCATGGCCACATTAACTACTCCATAAAAGGTGTAAAGAAATCACTTAAGTACTTGTATGTCACTCCTTTGTCAAAGTAAATCATAGTGCGGTACCGTCCGGACGGGTTTTTATAGCCAGTCACACAACGGGCAACGGGCAACAGGCGACCAAAGCAAAGCCCAAAACTTCAAAACCCCAGCCATAGCCAAAGTAGAAGATAGAGCTACACACAGCAGCCACAGCAGCTGTGTGTGTGTGTTTGTGTGTGTGTGTGTGTATGGATGTATAAAATATAGGCGTAGAATGCTTTGGGTTATAAAGAATAAACGGGGGAGTTTTATTGACAGCCGCAATTACCACATAATCATGCAACAAATATGATGCTTGGATGGCAGCCCGTTGATGACGTAGCGTTGTGTATAGACCATGAAGTAGTCAATTCTTTCAAAAGCAACAGCCCCAGCCAACAAAACGTGCTGATCCATTACGGGGGGCGGTGGGGAGGGGAGAGGCTGCGAGGCGTGAGGACAGAGCGACAATCACAGCTACAACACCAGCTACATTTTTGTCTAGACTTATTGAGTGATCGTGGCAGGAGCCAACAATAACAACAACAACAACAGCAACAACAACAATAACAACAACAGCAGCAGCAACAAGAAGGCGCAGCCGTTTTTTTTAATGGGGTGGCAATCACTTGGATGACGACGAGTCCAACTCCGACTCCATCTCGGAGTCCGTGGCCAGGCCCCAACATCAAATTATGGTCAAGAGTTGGCCAGCAAAGAGGCCTGGCCAACAACGGGCGATGCAGGCAGCAGCCTCGTTTTTGTGCTCTGAACTGGGTTGGCAGATACTTAAGAAATATGTTATTAAATAATAATGGAGTGCGTGG